TTCTTTAAAAGGTGGAAATTAAAATATTGACTGGTACACAAAAGAAAATAGCATAATAAGTAAAGTTGTTCGTTGTACATATTTTATTTGTATTTGCAACATTTTGAACTCTTGTTTTAGAGGATAATTATCGAGATACTATAGATTTTAATTATAAACTATTACTGTGAATTTTAATTATTGATCAATGATGTGTATTGATTTGATCTTTTTTCAGCATAGTTCGTATGATGATCATTTTAAGGAAACTTCGTTGTTATCAATGCTATCGGCAAATAGCTTTAAAGCTTTCGGAGGATTTCGTAAGGCAGGATCCTTGAGGGTTACCGCACACCAGCCACAGGTTGTCGTCCTCGTTCGCTTAAATCGACCTATTAACCCCCTTATTCAGTGCTTCCTAAGCGAAATCTCGGAATTTCGACCGAGTTCACCGGGAATTCCGTTTCGTTGAACATCTAAAGAACGTGTCTATTCATTTCCTTTCTCTCTTTCAATCGTTCGAATTTTTCAGCTCTCCAAACTGCAATCTTCGTCGAATTTTTGCCTCTTTGATTACACTGTCCAACAAATTTTAACTTTTTCTTTAATCTGTAACATCCATTAGGTGTTTTCGGCTAAAATGAAGTATTACATAAAAAATAAGAACGTCAGAAGGTTCACTATTATCTTAAAAGTTAGATGTGAGTATCCTAAATATATCCATAATTACAATTATTTGTGCTTCTCATATATATATATATATATATATCTTTCTTGTATTTACAACGATATTACTTATTCATTGTCTTGATATTTGTTTCTGATTTTTATACTATCCAAATCCTAAATAATCAATAATATATTAATTACTAATAAAGTTACTATTAGTGAAGATAAACTGTTAAAATTAATAGTAAATATTGTTTATGTGTAATCGTGTAACTTATGTTATTATAAAAATAGCAAAGGATTTAAAAAAAAATATGCACCTAATGCAACCGTTCATATCGCGATAATACTTCAATAAGACAGACAAGGATAAAAGTTCAAGCGACATTCAACTTATTGTTAATAATTATTTGAAGGTGTATATGATTTGGTAACAACGAGCGTCATGATTTTTCGTCAAAATACTGAATTATGAGCAAAACTAGAAGTGAAATATGAACAAAAATAATATGTGAACATGCTCAAGAATATTCTTTC